CAACCCAGCTTTCTAGCTATCACTACCTTGAATAAGACCTCTAAGCTCAGCTTCAGCATGCTCTCTTTGGACTGGGCTTATGACAGTACCTACCACACAGGCCTGATGTAAGGGTCCATGAGATGAATCCCATAAAGTGGAGGTTGGTGGCAATTGGTGCCTATCCATGAATGCAACTTTAAGTAGCATATGTCATTTAATAAAACATTGGTGGCTATTAAGTAAAATTAGGTAAAATGAATGTTACTTTTTATATCAGTGAACCTTTCTACTTGCTCTATACCTTATAGCAGGGGTGGGGAACCTTTTTTCTGCCAAGAGCCATTCAAATATTTATAAATTTATTTGCAGGCCATACGAAATAATCAACTTAAAAATTAGTCTGCTATATTTGGTCAAACATTTAATTAACTCACCCCTAGTGCTTTGGCAGGACCAAACCAAATGATTTCATTAGTCTTACTAGTATATGATCTGCAGGCCAGGCATTTCACACCCCTGCTTATAGGAAAAATTATATTACTTTAATTTTCCCCATTTCTCAAAGATTATAAGGTGGGTTGAGAGACTGGGTGAAAATGTGAAGGGACTGAGAAATATAGACTGGTAGTTACAAAGTAGTCATGGGGATGTTAAGTACAACATAGGGAATTTAGTCAACAACATTGTAATAACTATGTATGGTGCCAGATGAGTACTGGAAATATCAGGGGGAACACTTTGTAAAGTATATGCCTAACCACTATGCGGTGCAGCTGAAACTAATATAAAATAATATTGACCCCTTCCTCCCCCCACCTAATATGAGGGACAGGAGGAGATTTGACTTTGGGTGGTGGGTACATGGTCCTATATTCAGATTTTATGAGTTAGTAATCCACACATGAAACATATATGTTCATGTTGACTAATGTCACCCCAATAAAATTTAATTAAAATAAAATAATAATAATATTGAATGTAAACTGTAACTTAAAAATATAAAATAAAAAGTGAAGAAATAAAGTGAATTATATAAGAAAGATTATTTATTGAATATCAGCAAGAACTGTGCTAAGAAGTATACAAGGTGAATAAGAACTGCTATTACTCTTACTTAGTTTATACTTTAGTACTGAAGCAAATAAACAGATAAGACTTCAGTTCTGTGGGTAAGTCGTGGGATAGAGGTAAATGCCCAAAGAAATGGAAGCACATTGCAGAGGCCCCGATCCAACGTGGCTAAGAGCATGGGAAAGAAGGAGGCTGTCTGAGAGGCTTGCTCAGAGGGAGTGAAACCCATATTGAGTCTTCAAGATTTACAAATGATCCTGGTGGGGAAGAGGCCATCTGGAAAGAGGCATTAGCAAAGGCATAAAAACCTCAGAGACCCTGAGAGATTCAGGGAACCAAAAGAAGCCAGAAATAACACTGGTGAGTTTCAGGTAAGCAATTAAGTCTGTGTGCTTTACTACGCGCGGGACCTTCTCTTGAGTGCAAGAAAGGGCCTGGGTAGGATATTAAGTAGAATAGTGATCAGGTATGTATTTTAGAAAGACCACTCAGAACTAATTTAAAGATATTCAAGAGGTAAAATAAAGATCCAAAATAAGGAGTTGAAGCAAAAACAATAGCTCTGAAAGATTAAAAATTAAGAATGGGCTGGACTTTGAGATGGGGATGAAGGAGAAAAGGATGACTACTTGTTTTCTGACGTAACCTAGTCAGTGGCTGATGATGCCATCCACAGAAGTAATAAAACAGAGGAGAAAGGGAGAAAATTTGAAAGAGAAGAGAGCTAGTGAATTCAGATTTCATCTACTGAGCTTACAAACTTATATGCCAGAAGGTAGCTGGATATGTGAGGATTAATGAATACTTATTACAGATTGCCTGAATTTGTCAGTTTAATTGTAACAATAGCTAACATTTATTGAGTTGCTACTCTAAGCAAAGCATGTGCTAAATTTTCCATATATAATAATTTATTTTTGTTAACCTTCCCACTCCACAGATGAAGAAAAGTTTAATTAATTCCCCAAAGATTGCCAAGTGTCAGGGATGTTTGATTTCCGAGTTCAATCTCTAACCCACTACACTATGTTGTATCATAAAATATCCATTATAGGTTTTTAGGACCAGATAAAAGTGGGTTCTATTCTAATCTCTGCCACTTAACTATTGTTTGAGTAGGCTACTCTCTACACACAGTTTCTTTTACTGTAAAATGGTGACTGTAGCAAGTACATCACAAGGACATAGTAAGGGCAGGAGAGAATATATGAAAAATGCTGGATGGAGTGTGCTTGTGCAATAAATGACACAAATTATTAAGCCAATGCATAGAGAAAGAATTCTTCTTTAAGTAAGATAACTATGATCCAAGTGGATTCCCTTTCATCTTATTATGCACTCTCTTTTAATGCTACCCTATTTGTTTTGCATGTTAATAAGTGCTAAGTATCTTGTTATCAAAAAGTTTTGAGACATTAAGACACAATGCAAGATTTAAAATAATTTAAATGTTTTATTCAAATAGAAATCATTTCAATGTAAAGGAGATTGATTCTGACTTCTTTGACATTTCTAGGATAATGAATGTCAAATAAGAAAACTCAAAAGCATTAAGTCATGTTGATGTCATGAAGACAGCTTTGGACTTGGAGTCAGAAGACCTGTGTGAAGTCCCAACTCTGATGCTCACGGCCATGCCAACATGGGCAGGTCACGTAACAGTCCCAGGCATCCCTTTGCTCATGTGCAAGATCAAGAGCTTGTCCTATACAGCCTTCTATGTCTAAAGATGTGGAAGAAGGAGGAAGGATTTTTGATGTTTATAAATTCAAATCATTAATCCATTAACACTTGACAAAAACTTTAAGCTCCCTGTGGTTTAAACCAGAAGCACCGATGCTTGATGGCCTAACAAACCACTGCAGAGATCAGCAGCTTCAATAACCCTCGAGTGAAGAGTTCACTGTCAGAAAGGGGAAGAGAAACAGACAGTGCGGGTCATCTTTTTTTTCTCTTAAAATCTTTTGTTCTCACCACAAATTCAGCAGCTGGCTTCAAACAGAGAGACCATAAGGTCACCCTAAATTTCTGGTTCTCAAACCTGGTTGCACATTAGTAATAGCAGAAACTTATTTTTTTAATATATTTTTATCAATTTCAAAGAGAAAAGAAGAGGGAGAGAGAACTAGAAACATCAATGATGAGAGAGAATCATCGAGCAGCAACTTCCTGCATGCCCCACACAGGAGATCGAGCCTGCAACCTGGGCATATGCTCTGACCCCTGACTGGGAATGTAATCATGACCTCTGGTTCATAGGTCAATACTCAACCACTGAGACATGGCCAATCAGGAATTTATTTGTTGTTGTTTTTTAAATTCTGAGCTCACAACTCTAAAATATCACTAAGGAGAAACCAGTATTTGGTCTAAAGTACTGGGTTTCATTTTGCAAAAGGCTGTGTGAAGAACCTTGGGTAATAACCTCACTCCAATGTTAAACACAAGAACATATTATCTTTAACCTCCATTGTATTAAAAACAAAAATTCATTCTTGAGTACACACACATCCTAGGGCAATTAGCTGGATCAACTATCCCAGACTCCACCTGCTTTAGCTCTGAAAGATCCATGTCCTAGGAAACCCTTGGGTCTCTGGAAAACCAGGACAGTTGGTCAATCTTAAAATACACACACACACACACACACACACACACACACACACACTTTTATGTAACTCTCATTGTGTCAGAACAAAGTACAAGTCAACAGCAGCCCTCTCATGAAACATCACCATTCAGAGGATAGACATCATTATTCACTCAGGTACATACATGGTGACATAGACTCTGACACCACAGGATCCATAAACATGGGATGCATAGATGATATACCATCCTGCTTATCCATGCTATGAATAATCAACATTAAAAAAATAACTACTTTGAAACCCAGCCTGGCCAGGCAATTTCAAAGAATAATATCTCTACCACTTGAGAGATTGTTTATAGTTTTATGGTGTTAAAATTTTTCTTACATTTTGTTTCTATGTGAAATTTAATAATACTACACAATGAAATTAAACAATGCTCATGTGTGTATGTGAGGACTCGATTATCATTTCTTTTAAATAAAATAATGAAAAAATTAACTTATCTTGGAATAGCATGTATACTCTAGAACACATATACCTCTGTATTTTAAAATTAAACTCCTTAAAGAAATCTTTTCTAAAACCACATTATTATACACAAACACACTGCCCTCTGTTGCCTGATTAGACTCTCAGATCAAACCATGATCACATAAGCAACACACACTTGGTAGATACACATCTCCTTACGTGTGACATCACTAGCTGTCTGTGACCAGAACAGTGTGGTCCACAATTGGCAGTAGTGTGTATGAGGAAAGACCTCCCATTGACTCCAGTTCCACACAATAAAGAGTTAGTCTCATGCAGACTGCTAATGAATCAGAAGAAAATACCATCTATACCTTTTGTAAAAAATCAGAATCTTAGAATGATTGCCAGCAATCTTATGCACTCTTTATTCTGTAAAGAGCTTTGCAAAATAGGAAAGCCCTTGAGGACTGTGGTTGCCATCCTTGAAATGAATAATAGGCATGCTAGTCCAATACTTTGTCTTTTATATGCTTCTAACATTCAACAACAGATCCACAATCTGAGCACATTTGGAATAAAACTAATAATGGAGATGTTTGAAATTGTTTACACTGTCTAAAACATTTAGCATGATTCCAATTCCCTGATCTTTCTGGCAGTGGTTTAACAGGTAAGTAGACAGTTAAGGGAGACCACAATCATAAACAGGAACACCATACATTTCCAAAGGTCTGTTTTACTATAATAAAAGAGGATTCTCAAATCAACTAAAAATATGTTTTAAAAACTAGCTTTTTATAATATATTCCTTTCAGTATGATTTTTGAGTAGTCATACTTCAACTTTCTTCAGCAAACTTGAGATTGAATTAAGACTTACTGATTGTTCATTTAAGTCCTGGGAGTCTTCCATGGGGTTTTCTCACGTCTCCTGCCACCCCAAGTAGAAGCAGCCTCCTTTGATTAAAAATGGGCTATCTAAAGCAAAAAAAAATGGAAACAAAGGAGAAAAATGAAATAGTTATCTTTTTCATCTATTTGTAGGGAGAAGGAAAAAGTAAAAATAAAAATTATGTTAAACAAATACATATATATCAACAAGTGAATCTAAAAATCAAGTGAATTAAAAACCTGATGAACAGAATAAACTGGTGAATATAATAGAATCAGGGGCAAAGAAAGGAAATGAACTGACAATTCTCAGGGCGAAAGGGGTGTGGGGGGGTTACATAAAGAGACTGGACAAAAATCATACACCTATGGATGAGGACAGTGGGGGAGAGGGTAAAGGCAGAGGGTGGGGTGGGAACCAGATAGAGGAGAGCTATGGGGGGGGGGGAAGAGGAACAACTGTATTAATCTGAACAATAAAGATTTATTTTTTTTTAAATCTGTTATTGGCAAAAAAAAAAAAAAAAAAAAAAAAAAAAGCAAAAAACAAACTAGCAAAAAGATATCTGTTAATCCACAAATTTATTCTTCATTTTCATTGGACAAGAGCCCATAAGAAGAGAGGTCTGCACCCCAAACCCCATGTTTCAATAATGTTAAGTTGTCTAATACTTTTAGAAAGCAATCTGTCACTGCATTTTAAATGCTGTAAGCATGTTTAAACTCTTTTATCCAAAATGAACTGTCCTAAGAAGTAAAATTCCCCCACATAAAGTCACCAGGTATTCACTAGTTTTATTCATGATAATAAAAACTGAAAACAGCTTCATCTTTACATTGGATTGATTAAACAAATTATGGGCAAGCATTTTAATATAATGTTATTTAATGATTCAAAAGAATAATTATTAAAATGGAAGAGTGTCATTGTGTATTAAATGAAAAATAAGAACAAAATGTTAGTTATACTACACTAATGTATACACAAATTTGAATATTGCTTAAAAGGCATTTTTTAAATAAAATGATCAAGAATACTATGTGGGGTTTTATGTCCTTTGATTATTGTTGACTTTATGTTGTCTGTGCAATAAATAAATTTTTTCTCACTAAAATACAGCAGGCATATAGTAAGTAAAACCGAATGATGCTACCATGGTTTAACAAGCTCAGTTAAAGCTATAAATAGTATAGAAAAGATGAATTTTCTAGGTAGATGAACCTCTAAGTGGTCTGTGGTTTCTTCTACGTGGACTAACTCTCAAAGCCAGAGTACTTTCTCTAAGGGTGGGAACTGTTTTTTGTTTTGTTTTTTAATCTTTATTGTTGAAAATGTAACAGATATCCCCTTATTTTCCCCATTAATCCCCTCCAGCACCCACCTCCACCTGCGCTATGCCTTAACCAAACTATTGATTATGTCCAAGGGTTATGCATATATGCATACAAGTTCTATGATTAATCCCTTCCCATCACCCACCCACCCACAAAGGGCACTCTTGATTGTGTTTACTAGTGCTATCTGTAGTGCCTAGCTCAGTGCCTAGAAAGCATTAGGAGTTAAATAAATAAATATCAATTGAATGAATTACACAATTAATAGTGGATAAAATCATGCATAATGTATCTGATGATTGTGAGGGGGGGGAAATTAACTGCCAGATAATTTAACTTTTGAAAATTCTGTCTTAAATATATACTTATTTTAAGAAAAATTCTGTTTTGTCCTACATTTTTCAGGTACATAACTAACTTCATTTTACTTTTCTCTTTGTATAAGGGCAGTAAGAACAACAAATTGGGGGACATTTTATTTGCTAAATGAGAATACTTTAAATTTTCAGAAAGTTCAATATTGAGAGTTAGTCCACCAGATATTTTCCTACTCAAATGACCTAATAATAAAATACTAATAATAAAATTATTAATGAAACCATTCTAACCAATTGTTAACTTACAACATAGCATGCTGATTTAGTTTCCAATTTATTTCTTTTACAGCAGGGCTGCTGTAAAAGAAATAAATTGGTGACTTAGAACAACAGAAGGTATTCTCTCAGTTCTGAAAGCAAGTCCTAAATTAAAGTGTTGGCAGGTCCGATCCATGCTTCCTCTGGAGGTGTTGTGGGCAGTTAGACAGACACAAGTATTGGGTCGGCAACTAAGTACGTGCGTATTTTTTAAAGAAAATCAAAGACAATTTTTTCATGGAACTAAATAACTTTATTCTGTAATGTATTGCCCATTTTGATCAATGACCTTTTGCCATCTTTCAGGCAGCATCATAATCCCATGTTCAAAAAACTTCTGGTTTTTATTAGCAAAAAACTGAATCAGGTACGATTTGACATCATCATCATTATTGAAATTTTTACCATTCAAGGAGTTTTGTAAAGATCGAAACAAAAAGTAATCAGATGGTGCAAGGTCAGGACTATATGGTGGATGTGGCAAAACATCCCAACCAAGCTCCATTAATTTTTGCCGAGTGACCAAAGATGTGTGTGGCCTTGCATTGTCATGATGGAATACAACACCTTTTCGATTTGTCAATTCGGGCCGCTTTTCTTCAACTGCATTGTTTAATTTCGTTAGTTGTTCAATGTAGACATCAGAATTGATCGTTCTGTTGGGTGGTAAGAGTTCAAAGTAGACAATTCCTTTGTAATCCCACCAAACTGATAACAAAACCTTCTTTTGATGAATATCAGCTTTTGATGTTGTTTGAGTTGGTTCACCTGGCCTGCTCCACGATCTTTTCCGCTTGATATTGTTGTAAACAACCCATTTTTCATCGCCAGTTATCAGTCGTTTTAAAAATGGATCATTTTCATTACGTTTCTTTAGCAAATCGCAGCTGCTAATGCGTTGCGTTAACTGTGATTCTTTCAGTTCGTGAGGAACCCATGTATCGAGTTTTTGAACATAGCCAAATTGTTTTAAGTGATTTTCAATGCATGTATGTGATACATGAAGCTTCTCTGCAATCTCACATGTTGTACTGTGACAGTCCGAATTGATTATTGCTTTGATTAGGGCGTCATCAACTTCAACTGGACGACCAGAGCGTTTTTCATCTTTGAGTGAAAAATCACCAGAACGAAATTTGGCAAACCAATTTTGACACTGCCATTCTTTTAAGGCTTCGTCACCATAAACAGCACATAACTTTTTATGAGCTTGCGATGCGTTTTTCCCTTTGCGGAAATAAAAAAGCAAAATATGACGAAAATGTTCCTTTTGATTTTCCATTTTTCAACGAATGCTAAACGAAAACTACAAAACAGATCAAAAAACTTTTTTTACTGATTAACAGCTGAATAGCCAACTATCAAATAACAAAATGTGTTTTACATTTGTACTACGTCTGCAAACCTAAAAATTCAACTGAAGCCATATATGTGTGAAACCAGCAATTACTTAGTTGCCGACCCAATAGATCAAGGACAACGTGTCAGGCACAGAAGGTCACCAGGGTGGAAAGCCCCAGGTGCCTAGCAATGGACAATCAATTGTAGGGTGCGGCCTTACCCCCAGGGTGATTTTTCTTCTCCTAGCATATCAATTGTCAAGCGTTTTGGACCCCTGACCTTTCCATCCTAAAGATAACATTTACACATTTACGCCTCCTATTTCATCTCCAGGCCCAGGTAAACAATAAAACCAGCTACTTTAAATGACTCCTTGTCCTCAAGCCAATCAATCAGTGGAGACCATAACCCTAAAAGGACACACCTGGAAAGCTGCTGAATATTCTATTAAGATCTTCACCCGGGACTGCCCCCAAAATCTCCACCCTCAAAACACCTAGGATGAAGGACCCAGTCCTCTCTTCCTCCCAAGTCTTTCCCTTTCCTTTCCTCCTCCCGCTCCTTGCCCTCCCTGCCCCAGGCACATTACCATTAGCTTCTTCACCCCAAACTCCAAGGGTCCTTCCTTTACCTCCATAACTCATTTCGTAAACCCATTTCTTCTAGGAATTATTGTACTTCTACCTCTGTAATTTACCAAAGAAATGTTCTCTTACAGTTTGGTTCTTGGTTCTGAATTCTTTCCCAGCTAGAACCCAAGTACCAAAGTTGCTGAGCCCAGGTTTAGTCTGACCCCACTGGTCAGACACCTGGTGCCATTTCCACTGCCTACAACAGAATGCTTCGTTGTTTCTTCCTAGTATCAGATGTTGGCTGACAATCCATGCATCCCTTGGCTTGTGGGTGCATCACTCCAATCTCTGCCTCTATTGTGTTCTCCCTGACCACCTCTTCACATAACCTTCTTGAATGTGTGGGTATCTCAATGTCTAAAATTCCCTCTCCTTAGAAGTATACCAGCCATTGATAGGCCCAACCTAATCCAGTAACAACTCATCTCAACTTGGTTATAGCCGCAAAGACCCTATTTCAAAATAAGGTCATATTACAAATGAAAGAGAACATATTGTTTAGGGAACAGAATTCAACCCACAACACATGCAATTATCACACCGAAATCATTTTAGGATGGGACCAAGATTTCAATGTAATAACCAGAAAAGATGAACAAGAATTAAAGTAAGAATATTGAGCAGGGAAGAAGTCAACATTTTTCTTAAAAAAGGCCACCAGGGCACTGGTAATCACTCAAGTGAAATTAAGACTTCAGGAAAGATATTGGAGCATAACACTAGCCTCGTTAGGTTAACCACCAGTTGAAAATCTATTTAATGTTCCAGTTGGGGAGCTATTTGCATCAATGTTCCATGTTACAACATAATACTTTGCTTTATATTTCCTTAAAATTGAGATTGTTACTTAGTTTAACATTTTTATGGTAACATGAATTTCTTTCTTTGCCAAGCACACTAAGGTACTAAAATATTATGAGCTCGGTGTTTTTATATGATTGAACCAAGTAAAACTACCTAGGCTAATTGCAGACATGGTATTATTTTACATCATAATTTAGCAATGGTTGTTATGCTAAATCCTTTAACGTTAAGTTTTCACAAATATTTGAGAAAAAGACAAGAACATGCTCAGAATCAAGTAAGAGAAGTATTACTTAATAATAAAGATATAAAATTAAGGAGTAATAGTAACCTCATGCTG